TAGGAGCAAATCAAATCAAAATTTCGAAAACTCTTCGACGTGTTTGCAAGAGGAAACCCCGCCAAGTCAACCCGAAACTTTTCGTATTTGACTGCCGACAATTTAAGATTATAATTATTAAAGAAACAATTTCAAAGTATCAACTCATATAAAACTAAGCGCCAACATAACTTTTTACTCCTACTAGCTGCAAAATTTATTATTTAGGTGGCTGCAAAAGTGCTAACTTCTGATTCCCCATTTTAAATCTTCGAGCTTGTTTCAAGGCCTATTTTACCTAAAGCAGGTTAAGAGATTACTGTTAATGGAGCTGTTTCGGCAAAAGTTAGGGAAGCGATAATAAAAGGAGATTGAAGAGGTTTTTAATAATATTTTCTGAGCTTAGTCTGCTATTCAGCGGAAGAAATCCGGAGGCCATCAGATTTCATTTTCCGATTGTTCATTTTGGAATGGTCGGTCCCAAAAGCTTGATTTAATCAAAAGGCAAACTTAAGCCTTGCCACACGGATAAAATAATGAAGGCTTTTATTTTTGTTTTCAGGATTTTTTGAATTAGTTACGCTTGTAATTGGCATGCGTTATCAAATCAGTATTCAGATTTTTAAGGTTGACAACTTGTTTAACAAAATCACTAAATCACTCAACGAGCACTTATGGTATTTTAAGTTCGAGTTTCTGATTTGGCCTATTTTGCGTGGCAGTTTTTTTTCTGAGAAATTTGATTATCGGACTATCGTTTGTCTGCTTAGTTTTCACATCATGCTATTCTTTTCTGGTTGAAGCTAGGTTTGCAGCAAATATTTTTGCTTATAGCATTCTTTGTTTTTCTTTCATATAAAAAAAGCTAGATCAATGGCTTCACTTTTCCAATTTAACAATTTTTCACCCGTTGTTGAAACTTATGAAACAGTTATTTTCAAATCTACAACAAAGTACTAATTGAACAACTAAAAAAAGCACCGCAAACGTTTTTTTTTGATAGTACAATCACAACGAGCATGGGGGTAAGAGTTCAAAATATTTTCTATATTTTTGAAGTAAAATCAATCTCATCATATTCGAAATATTCACACCAGGGGCGGACTTAAGATTTTCTCGAGAGCCAAGATTTTAGAAAAAAAAATAAAAAAACTTATCGAATTTTTCAGAATCAACATTCTTACCCATACATTAGAAGAGCACCCCCACTCCTCAAAAAATGATATTACCTAATAATACCAAATGGTCCACCCTTTGAATATGTTTTTACTATTTTATTTTCAAATGGCGCCGTCGGTGCCGTTGTCTTTGTACTTGAAATCAGGGTTGGCAAAATGTAAGTTATAAACAAAAATAACAAACTAACTGTAATTTATCGAAAAAAACATGTTATTTTTGTTAAATTGTTAATTAAATTAATATATCAACAAGAGTTGAGTTTCTTGAACAGAAACGCCAACTTTCCGGCTTTCTCAACGCCGAGTTGAGCACGAAGCTTCCCATACGTTAGGTGAGATTTTTCGCTCTGTAGTTTGTCAAGTGAAACTGCAATTGGTTTGAAAATTCGTTTTTTTCATCCGTTCGGGATTCGCTACAATCGTTTCGGGACAAGCATGCAGTATAGTTGCGTTGTGTTTTTCTAAGAATTACTCATATTTCTAAGAAAAAGCTAACATCACTGTTAGAAATTATAAATAACACTGTAAGTTAAATTCAATGTTAAATAACAATGTTAAATAACATGCCAACCCTGCTTGAAATCAAAGCAACTTTGAGTTGTAAAATTGAATTGAGGTCTATAATTCAGTCTTTTCCAACCTTTCAAGTTTAAAAAAGCTGGTTCAAAATTGACGAGTCGCGTAGACAAAATTTTTTGGTTTCTCATAAAAATTAAATTTTTATAATACTAGGTTTTGTCATTTTATAAAATTCTTTACCTTTGATAATTTTGCTGAAATGAAACAAAACTGCTAGTATAAGGGCGAAGCCCTGAATGTTCTGACTGCCTTTTAGGGTCTATGGAGCAGTAATAATATGAAAAAAATAAATGTAATGAAACAAAGTTTTTTTTTTAAATCTGAGAACTTTTGTAAAAATCATTCACCCACACGCCATATAAAATTCAAAGTGATCAATTTTGCTTTTAGTAGCAAATAAGGGCAAACAGGCTTCTTTTAATCAATTGCAACAATTTCTAAGACGGATTAATCTCCGCTTACGCGTTAATAGCGTGAAATATATCGCGCGTTAATTGTCATTAATTGACCAAAATGGCAATCCTTAAGCCCCTTAACTGTACGAAAATTGATCACAGCTGAAATATCTTTTCAAATTTAAGCTCAAGAAAACAATACCTTTTGAATAATATACATAAGTTCTGTCAAAATTGCTAGTTAGAAATTCGAAAATTGTCTGAAAAAAAAACCCACCCCGAGCACAAATATTCCGTTGCTTTCGTTACGAAAGTCGGAAGAAAAACTCAAAAATGAAGTTTGAAAACACAGTATTAAACTGAGACTCTAATTTTTGTTTAATTACAACCAATCTTTGTTTTGAAGATTTTTGAGTCTGGTAAGGAGGGCACTCAACAGAACAGCCAAGCCGCTTAGCAAAATTTTTTGAACAGAGCCATAAACAAAAGTTTCACAACTAAATTTATTAAATGATGTCAAATTTGATTGATTGAAAATGGCGTGGTTTTTAACTGTGATTATTGAGAATTTCTTAGGATGGCAGCAAAACAAATTCCCAATAAACAGTTGAACTAGATTGCGATAAGTTGGTAGTTAGTCAATTTGTATAAGTATAGGCAGTATACCATGTACAGTAGTCTGATCTCGCGATTAATTTGATATCGTGTGATATCCAATCACGTTCTCAGTTTAAATATAAAAAACGTGAGCCAAAAAATCCAAATAATTAACAACGGCAAGTGACCAGTTGTGTCTGAAACTGAGGGCACTCAACAGTGCAAAGCAGAAAACAGCAAACTCATAAAACACAGAACTCTATCACTGCCTTCAAATAATGACCAATGAGAATTTGATATAAAATGTGACAGTGGATTTCAAATTTAACAAGACTGCTCGTATCAGGGTGAAGCCCTGAATGTTCCGACCGCCTTTTAATGTTTATGGAGCAGTAATAACATTTAAGAAAATTTGAATTTTTTAAATGAAAATCATCCCCCCACACGCCATATTAAGTACAAAAAGATAGATTTCGCTCCTTGTAACAAATCAATAATGGCAAATAAGCTTCTTTTAACCAATTTGGAACGATTTCTGTGACGGATTAACTCTCCGCTTACGCGTTAATAGCGCGAAATATATCGCGCGTTAATTGTCCCAAACTGGCCAAAATGGCAATCTTTAAACCCCCGTAACTTTACGAAAAATGATCACAGATAAAATATCTTTTCAAATTTAAGCTCAGGACAACAATACCTTTCGAATGATATAAAAAAATTTTGTCGAAAATGGCTAGTTAAAAAGTCGAAATTTGTCTGAAGAAAAAAACCCACCCCGAGCACAAATATTCCGTTACTTTCGTATCGAAAGTCGGAACAATTACTATTGACCTGATAGTGTTAAATTTTGAGAGTTTTGAGCAAACTTGGTATCTATACTCTGAAATTTTTCTGCAGTTCACTACCCCTCCCTAATTCTCCCTGCTCTACTTCTTTTTGGTCAAACAAATTGTCAGTATAATTTTGAGAATTTACAACTTTAGATCATCTGTTTTTCGCACGTTGTTTGGAGGTCTTTTTTGATAACTTCTTTCATTTCGTCAGTGGCGAGCTTAAAAAACTCTGAATTTTAGCTGAAAACTATGAAAATATAAATATAGCTCTTCGCGGATCCTGTTGTTATCCAAATAAGAAGCAACTTTTGTTAACACAAATACTATAGTCCCATTCGTTGGTTCCACAAACCGTTTGTTTCCAAAAACAATCATAACTTCGGTTTTTTTCGTAAATTTTGCAACTGACTCTAAGTTTACTAAAAAACTCACTCACCTAATTTGCAATTGACCCTAGTTTTTCTAAATTTATTATGAATGTCGAGTATATTTGAGTTCTATTTTTTTTTCGTTCAAATCAATTCATAGCACCACGCAGAAACAGGATACTATTTTTTTTTCAAAATTTTGTAATAACTTTTTCTCAATACAACAGTTGATTTAATTTGAAATGGACAAACATAGCGTCAAACTGCTTTGCAAATTAAAAAATTATCAATTTTTGCTGTTAACTCTTCCTTCTTTGAATCAAATACTTTAAAGTTGGGTCGCACCACCTTAATGTATAGTTATCCTAGATTCCGCGTACTTAAGTAATGAAGACGATTTATCCAAAATAGAAAGGACCAACATACAAACTGTTCAAAAAACGTTCCAAAAATTTTCCATGAGCGCCAATAATTCTCTGGAGTCTTTTTTAAACTTGTTTTTTTTTTACACCGTTAGAAAAAATTCAAAAATTAGCATTTAGCGCTGTCCAGTTTTGTTTCTGGCACCTTGCTGTACGTTTTTTTGGCACACTGTAGAAAACCTTTTTAAGCTTTAGCAGAGCCAGTAGCAGATTTAAGGATGGAGGATGAGAGCGTATTTTGAGACAACCAGTTTTGGCGGACTAGTCCTAAAATTTTTCTAGAGGCGCATTGGCGTCAATATATGATAATTTTGAGGGGAGCGCAAGTAGAAAAAACGCATTTTTTTGTCTAAAAACACTTGTTATGCCGGTTTTTTTAAACAATTTGCTTGCGTCGCAGAAATTTTGGTGGAAATAGGCTCTTAATAGAGATTTAGGGGAGCTTAAAAAATCAAAGTGGTCAACCTAAAAAATATATCGACAAAATTTTTGACTTTTTTGAAAATCCCTCCCTAGATTTACCCCTAAGAAGAGCTGCTGTGGTCAGAGCTTTTTGTGATGCTCGAGCTGTTGCCAATCAACCCTGCTTTGTTTTTCGATGTCTGATTTTTTTTCTATTTTGGTTGTTCTTATTTAAAAAGTTTTCCAGGCCATGGCTTTCATCCAAGTGGTGGCACCCAGTTCGACCTCCTTTCTGATAGTGAGCATGGCTCTGGACAGGTATCGTGCAGTGATCAATGCTTCGAGGAGTAACAAGCAGATCTACCTGATGATAGGGGGCTCCTGGTTCTTCGCCCTCCTCCTCGCCCTTCCCCAGGTGCACGGGTGGGGCACATATCCGAGTGAAGATGGCTCAGAGGAGTACTGTGGCGCGAAGGCCGAGTGGCTCGCCAGTCCTGCTTTCAAGGTTCCCTCTTTTATAGTCACAACTAAAATCACATTTAAAATCATATTTGTAATCACATTTATTTTCTTTCATAATCACAAAAAGAAGGAAAAAATAAGCATACACAGTTTTAGCAAAAACTTGCAGAAAAAACTTTTTTGACGAAGTTCAAATTATTTGAATTTACAAGATTAGTTGTATGAAAAAATGTCACAAATAGTCTTAAAAAGAAACTTTTAAGATTTTTCTTTAGAAAATGGCTGCCCGAGAGTCGATTTTAATTGAAGACAAAAATCTCTGTAACAACTTTTTTTCTGTCTGAAAACCCGGGTGGCCGTGATCACTAATTGATTCCTTGAACGGGTCCTCTGAATATCCGTTTGTGACCCCAGTTATACATTCTGCTAAAATTTTGGTCGAGTCAAAGTGATACAGAGCCTTGTGATTAAAATTGTTTCAACTTTTTCTTTTCTTAAAATTCACCAATTCTACAATTCCATTATTTGATGCCCGCTTTTTAGGCTTACATGGTTCTTGTGTTCATTCTCATTCTTATCATTCCGACATTCACGAACTGTTTCTGCTACGGAAAAATCATCAAGCGGCTTTTCTACGATCCCAAAACCGAACCCAACACCACCGACGGCACCGAACTGGTCGAAAACAGACGGGAGACAATGACTACGAATAACCCGACTGAAAAAACGCCGGCGAAGATCACCCCGAGCTCTCACCCGCAGTTCACAGTAACGGAACGCATTCGCGCCGCTCGAATTCGCACGACCAAATTAGCGCTGTTAATTGTCGTGTTTTACACTGTGTGTTGGCTGCCGTATTTTGTGGTTCTTTTTATCATGATTTTCTCCCCATACAATATATCAAACAGGTATTAATTTCCTTTTTTCTTACTCATTTGCCTTTCAAACTTTGAATTTCTTCAGACAATCGTTAAGAAACTAAAAAATCAAAAGCTTAACCATATGCTATGCTAAGCATTTTATGATTTGCCTGCCAGAATTTTCGTTGCAAAACTAAAAAACACGGTCTCACTAATTTATTAATTTTTACGTTGAAAAGTTTCTTTCAAAATCAAAACGGGAAAGGAAGGAGGCTATCAGATAAAATCTCACCATCTGCTAAATAGCTCTCTGGTTTTAATAGTAAGAATTACACCCGAATTCAAAGATCTTTCCCAAATAAAAAGGGAGAAAAAACCGTCTGGAATTTTAGCCTCTTCTTTTCAGGAAGATTTTTACTGGTCTACTTTTACTGGTGTCGTTTTTACATTTCGTTAGTTTCTCATACTTTCTTTTTAGGCTGCTCGCAGATTTTTGAATGCATGCACGGCAATCTAAAATAGCAACTTTTGTCAATGGTATCTTTAACAGACTTTTTGTGTTATTAGGACCCTGGATGTCGTCGAGGGATTGGCCATGGTTAACTCGTGCATCAATCCACTGGTATACGGCAAGTACACGTTCAAACAATCGGACGTTGAACAGGCATTCAAGTGTTTCAAACCGGAGATGGCTCGCAACATCATCAAGTACCTGGGAATAGCCGGAAACTCAAACTCGGAGTCCAGAAACCAGACATACGACCAGCACTTCGCACTCAAGCTTCAAATATACAGACAACAGAGGCAGAACCTGCAAAATGGATACCACAAAGCCACAAGTACTTGAACTGTGAGGTGAAACTTAAGCAAAGCAACTCGACACGACTGTATTTTTATAAAACCGTAGATGTTTTTTGTGTGAAATTTGTAAACCTGTAAATTATCATAAAATATGTTTTTCTTAACTTTTTTTTTCATTAATAAGATTTTTAATTATTACGACGCAATTTTTAGAAAAGCTCTCAATAATGCATGTTTTTGGTTTTAAAAATTTTGGTTTGATTTTTTCAGGAAAACTATTCTCTACTCTTTTTTTGTTCACATTTGTCATTTGATTTAAATTGAGTTAAGAAAAACAGGTAAGATGTGCGGCCAGAAGGCAGACAACCTCTGCTTCACAATGGACAAGGAGCAGATAAGTTAGCAATACTCAAACCTAGCTGGTAGAAAAATAACAAAAGATATTATTTGAAAGAACTATTCAAACTTGGTTTGGAAGTTTTGTTATTGTTCCGACTTTCGAAGAAAGTGACGAAGTAATTGTGCTCGGGGACTATTTGATTTCTCCAGACAAATTTCGACGTTTTTTCCAGAATACCTCTGGAAAAAAGTCGAAATTTGTCTGGAGAAACCAAATAGTCCCCGAGCACAATTACTTCGTCACTTTCTTCGAAAGTCGGAACAAAAACAGAACTTCCAAACCAAGTTTGAATAATTCTTCTGGCATTAAGTTTTTTTCTATCATCGGAAATTCTTGTCTTGATCTCAATTTTTTAAAAAAATCTCACTTTTGATTTTTTTTGTAATGATGTTTTAAAGATTGAAAATATGGCCGATTTGGGAAAAATTAACGCGCGATATCTTTCGCTCAATTAACGCGTAAGCGGAGGTTTAATCCCTCCAACAAATCGTTCCGAATTGGTTGAAGGAAGTTTATTTGACATATTTGCTAAGTTACTAGGAGGTAAATCTATCAAATTACACTTTATATGGCATGTGGGAGGACGATTTATAAAAAAAATCTCAAAATTAAAAAAAAGAACTTTTTTTTGGAAAATTCAGGATTTTTGTTAGAGCGATAACTAAAACAAAAAATAGCTTTTCAAATGGAAAAGGAAAATTGCTTCTGCTTACTGGTCTTATTGTTTGTTGAGTTGCCTAACTACTATGTAATTTACGGTTTGCTAGCTTTAATTCTTAATTTTTCTTTTTGCTTTAAGTTTTCAGGAGCTGTTCCTATATCAAACACATCAAAGAAAAAATAGCCGCTCAAAATTGCTCGTTCAGAACACAATTGTTTCATTCATTCCCTGAAGTTCTTAAAAAAAACTTTTCTTAAAATAATTTTTTCAGGCTAATTTGTGGAAATTAAATGCTTAGCTCATAATTAGTTTGTTGCTTCTCACAAAGCAGTATTAAAAATCAAATTCTGCTCAACTCAACAGCCAATTTTTAAAAAACATCAGTTTGTGGTTCTCAAAATTCCCTTTTTATTTCTAAATCAGAAAGACAATAGAAAGATACAAAACTGCTATTGTTTTAGATCAAAGTCAAAACCTTGAACTTTCCAACGGCCCCTTTGTGGGCATCGAATAGTTTTTGTTAAAAGATCAAGAAAGAAAAACAAACAGCGTTTATTTTGCCTCAATGTTTTGCCTCAATGTTTTGGCCTCAAGATTTGTGCTCGGGTGTTTTTTTTTTCAAAAAAAAATCAATTTTTCAACTGGCAAACTTTGACAGAAATTTTTATAAGATAGAAGTTGTTGCCTTGATCACATATTTACAAAACTACTTCGCCAGTAATCATTTTTTGTTCCTTTTATCGAAGAAGACGGAATATTTTGGCTTGGCGTGTTTTTTTTGTCAATTTCGGAGATAGAAATAGTAATTTTCAACAAAAATGTTTATGCCCATTGAAAGTATCAACTCATTGAAATCAAAATTTAAACGAGCAGTCTTGTTTCAAGTTGAATTCGTCAAAGAAATTAAAAAAAAATAAATCGAGGTAAAATAACTTTATTCATTTGAGTACTGTGAAATGATATCGTTTATGAGGTATCAACACTTTTCGTTAAAAGTTATTGTTATCATCATCGAAATTTGGCTGAACAAAAAGCACACCAAGCAAAAACTATCCGCACTTTATTCAACAGATAAAACAAGGCTGCTAAAATCAAGGCGATACCTGAAATTTTCCAAATTTTTATTCAGATCTAAGCAAAAATTCATCGGTCTAAGAACTTTCATAAACTATTTTTTTTTTAAAATTCTACTAAAAACGCTTAGCAACAAACTCATTTTTAATTTCGTTTTGCCTAAAATCAAATTGGATTGATTTTTGAGCTGCGTCAACTAGCCGCCAGCGCGTCAACAGAACTAAAACACACTCATTGTAAAAACTAGCCATTTTTGAGTAGTTCTTTTTTAATACCATTCAAAAGGTATCGATGTTCTAAGCTCAAGTTTGAAAAATATTTCACCTGTGATCATTTTTCGTAAAAACCACATCGAGCACAATTATTAAACATTTTCTTTAACATTTGAATGAAATTCTTGAAAAATTGTTTGATAATTCCGAAATTTTAAACAACTGCAAATTTTAAATCATTAAGATTTTATGACACACTGGTGAAATTTTGTACGTTATTTTGGTGCGTGCCAACATAAATAATCATCTGTATTTGTATCTACTTGTGAGGTTCCATGGAAACTAGATTGGAAGTACATGTGGAATAAGAAGGCAAAAAAATAGGAAGCATTTGAAAACTTTTCAATAACGAACGAATTAATATTGCACTAATTGAGCTTCTTTTCACTTTTTCCTTTATTTTTGCTCAATTTACTAGCTCAAAATTGGACGGAAAACATAAATTTTAAGTTTTGTTGGATTTTGAATTTTTTTTCACATTTTTAGTACACAAATCTGCAGTTGAGCGGTTGTATGCTGCTAGCATTTGAACTACTAGCACTACAAGCTCTGCTTGCTACTGGGCGCTGAAGGAAGCTGCTAGTTGAAAAAAATTTATTTTGAAATCACATTTTTTGAAATCACTGAAATCTATATATTCAAAAATCACGACGTATTTTACAAATTCAGAAGTAAATGAGGAATCACCAACCATTGGTCCAGACAAAATCATCACGTTTGAAAAAAACCACAACTGTTTATCGAAACGTCACTAAAATCGTTGTAGTCAAAATCTTGACGTATTTTCCATATTCAGAAGTAAGGGCGTAATCATAAATCATTGGTCCAGACAAAATCATCACACTTGATAAAATCACAATTATTTACCGAAAACTCACTGAAATCTATATCATAAAAAGTCACAACGCATTTTACATTTTCAGAGGTATTTGAAGGATCATAAATCATTGGACAGGACAGGACAAAATCATCATATCTGAAACAATGACAACTGAAAAAATCACATCTCACAACAATAGCCATTGGTGTATTTCAAAAGATAATTGAACAGTTCATTTGAAAATCTTTTTTGAGTTTTGAGCAGCAACGACAGTTCATTTTTAAAGTATTCATACTAAAATTTTGTTCCGAAGAAAGTGACGGAAAATGTGTACTTGGGGTGGTTTTTTCTCCTGGAAAAACTTCAATTTTTCAACAAGCAAATTGTGGCAGTTTTTTATTAACAACAAAATTGTTTTCTTGATCGCATATTTACAAAACTAATTCACCAGTGATCATTTTTGTTCCGTTTTTTGAAGAAACGGAATATTTAGGTTTGGTGTGGTTTTTTGTCAATAGAAGTAATAGCTTTTAACAAAAAAATGCCTTATATGCCTTATTGAAGATAGCAATCTACTGAAATCAAACTTAAAATGTTATTTTATCTCTGACCATTTTTTTGCAAAGTTTTGGGAGTTTGAAAATTGTCAATTCGGCCATGCTCTGGAGTAGTGTATGCGCAGTTTGAAGATTTTATCAATAATCCTGAAAACGTAACGCGAAATATTCATGCGCTGCGACTTATCCCGCACAACAAAATTGTTCCAAATTGAACTGAGGCTAGCTAATTGTTCCTATTAATTTCGTACGACTCAAATTTTCACACTTGATGTTTGGTCTTGTCCAAACTTTAGTTTTTCAATATTTTCTTTTCCAAAAAATCTATTCGATATAGATCAAGGGGCAGTCGCAACATTCGGGGCTCTGCCCTGATATATGAGCAGTCTTGCTGGCTAAAGCTCCGAGGGTTTAAAGATAGCCATTTTGGCCAATTTGGGATCATTAACGCGCGATGTATTTCGTGGTAATAACGCGTAAACGGAGAATTAATTTGACCTAGAAATTGTTGTAAATTGATTTGAGGTATGCTATTTACTCTATTTAACGTTTTGCTAGATGCGAAGTATATAACTTAGAAATTTTCATAGCGTGCGAGGGAATGATTTTCAAAAAAATCTGAAAAAAACTTCATTTTTTTTCTCTTTTTATTGGAAAATTCATCCATTTTTTTGAAAAGCGAACACTACTCCATAGACCTCAGACAGCAGTCGGATCAATCAGTGATTTACCGTGATACAAGCAGTCTCGTCGATCTTACAACAATTTTACAATTTCTGCTCTTGTTGTGTTATTGTAACAGAGCATTTTACAAAAATTGGCCAATTATGGCATCAGCATAAAATTGGTGAATATATTTGGCCGGGTAAATGGTACAGACGTAAATCCTATTTTTCATAGCTTGCATTTCAATTGCACTTCAGTAATTTCCACAATTGCGCGATGAAGAACCTCGTGAACGGGAACGGTATGGGATATTTTGAGAACGGTTGTCCTATGCTAATGGTAGTGATTTCACATTCAAGCCTTTCCCTAATGCAGTAAATCACGTTTCGAAACAATTAACATTTTCAAGATAGAGGGGAAAATAGACCCCGTAATTATCAGTATGTATGGAAAGGCTCAGCATTTTCATCAAAGTTAACTGATGTTGAAAAATATAATTAAGAATTTAGATGATTGTTGTAGCTGCGCAGCGAAACAAGGTGTCAATCAGGGTTAAGTTAGAGAAGGTAAAATGGTAGTGTTTCAGCTAAAATAGATCTTTGATATTGTCCAAAAGTGATTGAATTGTACTATTCAATTTGGATTAAGGGGCAGTAGGAACATTCAAAGCTTTGCCCTG